CGCGGCGGCGTCCACTCCACGAAGGCCACCGTGTCGGAGACGTCCCGCACCAGGATCTGCGTCGGGCCGTCGATGACTGCAGAGGAGGGGGGGAAACAGGTGCCTGTTATTTTGGGAGAGTTGGATAGGGAAGGGTGGTGGCTTTGGGGACACCAAGCTTCAGGGATGCTTTAACCTGACCTTTGGAGTGGCCCAAATTAGCAGTTGGGGATGAGGCAGAGAGGTGGCACAGGGAAGATACATGACCCCTCTACCCCAAGGTACTCGGGATGTTTGGTCCTGGTGGGTTCCCCGTCCCTTATCCCAATGTCCTGGCTCTTTCCTGAACCCTTTCTGCTTCACCAGTGTCTCTTCCAAGCTATGGACACCAGAGCAGGACCCAGCAGCTCTCCCATCGATGTCCATTACAGCTATAAGGCAACTCATGCCCTTCTCTCGAGCTGGTTATCAGCAGTGATTCCTCCCTGGCTTTTTCAGACAGCATCTCCCAGATAAAACCTCCTCTGTCTAACTGTAGTCCATTTTCTTTGCTCCTAGCTAGCTTTGCAATGCATTGAAAAATATAGTTTTCCTTTGTTCCCAGCTCTTTGAGCCATTCAAACTGCTTTTAGATGATCTCCTTCCACTCAATTTACTCTTCTCTGAGCCTTTCTGTCATTGGCAAAATTTATCAGCAATGATATTATGTCTTTTGAAAGGCGTTGACAATGTGTTAAATAACGTGGGGCCAAGGACTGATCAAATCATCGAGAACTGAGGAACGTCTCTAGAAATGTTCCGGCTTTGGTGCCAGCTCCTGGTTTGTATTGAAGCTGGGAGATCAGCTCATAAAGCTGTTGACGTGTTAATGATGGGGAGGGAGGAGAAAATGCAACTGCTCTGGCGAGTCTTCATAACTAGCTGGGTGTGGGGCTACAGAGAGTGTCCACCAAACCCTCTCAGGTAAAGGGGCTTTAGCTAAATTCATACTGGGGATCTACTGGGAGGCTGTTTTGGACATTTCTGCTTTCTTTTGCAGAGAATTTGGGCCCTTCCCTCCTCTGCATCCCCCAACACTTGGCTTCTGGAAATCGTGAGCTCGAGCCTGGGTGGTAGATGCTTTGAGTCCAGCAGGATCTAAGCGTTGCACGGATGGATGGACGGGCCAAACCTGGCCATCGCTCCTGTGCCACGGCAGCGTTGATGCACAGAGCCTGCTGGGCAGCCCCTTTTATCATGTACGTGGTCACAAGGTGGGGATAAAATCACGCTGGTCTTGTAATTCAGGCTATACTGCATGCAAGTACATCTGTTATACTGTATATATTAGAAAATTATGCTATATAGTAAGGATGTGCTGAATGCTGTACTCCAGGGTGGGAAGTCCTGGGGGAGATGAGCGTGGGTAGGGGTGGGAAGGACCACGGAGGGTTAGACAGGACATGTGGGGGGACTGGGAGCAGTAGGGTGAGGTCTGGGGAGAAGGGAGGAAGGCTGGGAAGTAGGGTGTTGAGGTAGGAGCTGGGTGTCCAGCTCGGTCACGACCAGGTCATGCACATCCAACCCTGAATTTCCCAAATGCTTCAAGTTGTCCAGTCATCCAGGTGGTGCTGGGGAACAGCAAGTGACACTTAGCAGTGCACTATGAAACCATGCCTTTGCTGCTCGATCCCAGCACGAGGTGTTGAGGCAGAACGAGGACGATGGAGGCAAAGACACGGGGGTGCCGCAGAGGAGGGCAAACATGCCAGCACGGGGACGCCTTCATGGAATGGAGAACTGGGAACCCACCAGTCCAGCCCTGCTCCCCTGCAAGGGTCACCCACTGAGTTTGAAGTACAAGCCTCTCTCTTATTTTTGCTGACTTGTTAGGGAAAGGAAGATTTGGGCTTGACCAGGAGATGTCTCTGTTAAGCCATGTCTAGCTGAGCGGGCAGGCAAAGCAGGAGCAGAGGACTGTGCTGAGGAAGCTCAGACCTGCAGCAAGCTGCTGCTGGTGGAGGGACCCTCCCTTCACTCTCACAGTTGCCTCAAATTAGCAGCCTGGAGAGAGCATCACCTCGTTATAACCCTCCCGTAGCTATTTAAATGCTGCTTTCGTTTGCAACAGCTTGGATGGAGGTAGATGCCTGCCTGGCTGCCAAGGCAGACTGCAGCAGATATGGCATGGACAGCCTTCTCTCCCCGGTGAGCTCTGCCCATCACCGTGTCCCCTTTGGTGAGGAGAAGACACCATTGAATTTCCTCTAGCCTACAGGACAGACCAGTGACTGACGTAATTAAATGGGTTAGGAGAGGATGTGCCGTTGCTCTTGGCTCCCTGCCCTGCTGCCTGATTTGCCTGAATTGGTGGGAGTAGAGGGCATTTAGTAGTACAAGAGCAGGTGGGAGTTTTAATCTGTTATATATGAGCAGGCAATACATTTATAGAGAAGTTTCTTAGGGGCATCCAGCCTCTGAAATGTGAGATTAGTGGAGAGGAGGAATTTATCCAGCTATATAATAAAAGCAGACCTGAGCCTTTGCTCCCAACCCCATTAACCTCACCACGGTTTCTGTGCTCGCAGCAGTTTGGGAAGGAGAGCGACAAAATACTGCATGAAGAAGCTGTTGCTGCAATGCACCTGTAGCTTGGGCAGTTGTGTGGTGCTAGTTTTATCCCTGCCTGTGCAGCGCAGGGCTGCTCTCGCTGATGGGACCATATTTTGGGGACCGAGCCCTGGGCACTGCCGTGCTGCCTGGGGTCGGGCTCACTCACGGGTTGAGACGCTGTCGGAGGTGGGAGGGCTCCTGGCTTGTTCCTTCAGGGCCACCACGGTGACGGTGTACTCCTCCCCTGGCTTCAGCCCCGTCTGGTTGAAGGTGGTGACGGTGCTGGGGAGCTGGGCAATCACACCGCCCTCGTTATTCTGCCAGGGGGTGGAAATAAGCATTTAAAAAAAAAAAAAAAAAACCAACAAAACAAAACTCCCAGGAAAGTGGTGTTTTGGGTGGACTGATGCATGGAGAGGAGGTTCCCCTCATGTTACATCCTTCCGCACCCAGCCCTGCATCCCCGAATCGCATCCTCGCCCTGGCACATCCCACCATGGAGGTGCAGAAACCCAGGGTGAAGTTGCCCACCAAGCGTGGAGCACCCATGATGTTGGGCTGAGAAATCCTCCCCCATTCCTTCTTCTACCCTCCCTCCTCAACTTCTGTATTTTGCCATCTGTGTGTCTGCTGTTCTCCAGAAGAGAAAAGGTAATAAAACCAAAGGCTGGGCTGGACTTCTTTTCCCTGCTATTCAGGTGCCAGGAGCCTTCTGTGGTTCATATATAGCTGTGAAACTCTAAGGTCTATTTTGGCATTCCCTGCTTTTTAAGTATCTTTATTAAACTCATTATACTTTGCGGTTTTGCTTTGAAAAACCCTAAGGCTTTAAGCAACTGCAAATGTCACCTTTCCTGCCAGTGTTTGGACAAAGGATCTTTTCTTGCCGCTGTCTTCACTAATAACACGCTAAACAAATCTTTGCACATAGATCTCAATTCATATTCATCTCTTTTCTCATTAAACAGGAAATCTTCCATTTTAGCCATAAATTGCCATCTTACCTTTCCTAATTTTCTTTTCTAAATCTGTCTTTGCTTCATCTCCCCCCCCCCCCCACCCCCCGGGCCCCCCCCCCCCATCCCCAGTGCACACAGCAGATGGGCAATCCCCGCCTGACCCCGCTGTTGGGGGGCGAGAGCATCGCGGGGACCACGGAAGGAGAGTGCGAGCATCCTCGTGGGGATGTTGAGGACCAAATTAGCATCCTTTCACCCGGTTTTCAGGAAGGCAGAGCGAGCTCTATTTTGCACATACACAAATATTTTGCATATTTGTGATGCCCCTGTTATAACTCTTGGTTTTTTTCACATTGATGCCTCTGGGATGAGGTTTTGGTTTTGTTTGGCGTGCAGCAATGGTTTAGCGTTTGCCTGAGCGAGCCTGTCTTCCAGGCAGTGAAGGAGACAGCACCCTCTGCTTTATATTAGGAGAAAAGCTGGGTGATGGAGATTCAAGAGAGTCCGATTTCAGCTGCAAACAGGCAGAAGCATAACTGTGCCTTTTATGATGCAGGACTGTGCGCTTGACCGATGAATGTGAGAACTTCAAAGCCTGGTGAGATACCTCCCTTCCCTGCCCCAAAACCCTGCATCCAGGAGCAGCCATCCTTTGGAGCCTTTTCCTTTAAAGTCTGAAATGTGTTCGCAGGGTTTTAAGTTGTAAGCTTAAAAACAGTAACGGGGCCAACAGTTTGTATTTATTGGTGAGAAAAACCTATCGCTGATGACCCTGTGGGGAGAAGTTTGCTTCTATCCCAGCAATTCCTCACCCTAAAATGGATACATCCCCATTTATCTGCTTCAGGAGGATGCTGTTGAGCTTAATTGCTGAATATCAGTGAAATGTTTGAAAGACAATTATTTTTTGCTGCCAAAATCTCTTCCCTGACGTTGCCTTAGCATTTCAGCTTTTATTGCAACGCTGGATGAAAATTACCCCGAGGTTTATACCTGCAATACCTGAACTCTGACTTCCGACACAATGTGCGTGTGGATGTGCCCAAAATTGCACCCAGACCCTTCCAGCCTTTTTGGAAGGGAGAGAACGAGTTATTTAAAGCAACCGGGCCCTTGCTTCGTGCTGTGTAATGATATTTTACAGTTAAGAGCATTTAAAACTTTGGGGCCAAGTTCTGCAGTTCTCTGCTGCCCAGAGCTGCCTTTGACTCCAGCGAGGGTTTTGTACAAGTGAAAATGGCATAATTGAGCCCTTAATCAGCATTTCTTTTACTGCTGGGGCTTGAATGCTCTTGTAAAGAGGCTCCACATACAATTGAAGCTATACTTATGGCTAAATGGCATAGAAATTATGAATATAGATGAAATACTTGATGTACAATTTTTGTTACTGAACATAGAAAATATGTGATATTTAAGGCAACATTTTCATCCTTTCATCTTTTCTGGCACAAATTCTACCTGTTCATCACTGTGATTAAAATTCTGTGGCAGGAATTAGCTGTGCGTGTGACTCGGGGATGCTGAAGGTTGTTGTCTGAAAGCCGGCGGCTGCTCGGTTCGATGCGGGCTGCTTTGGGTAGCTTAGTGTGCAGAGAGCAGGGGCGAGGAAGAGGGGGAGGAGGAGGGGTCACGGTAAAGGAGATGGAGGGGGAAAAAGAGGCAGTGACAGCAAGGCTGGAAGGTTTATTTATATGCTCGTCTCTTGATCTTATTGGGAAATTTCTTTGAAGGATATGTATGTCTTGACACCAAAGACCTCTGGGGTAACACAAGCTGGCAAACTGAGGTTGCGGTGTTTGGGGTTGTCTGATGTGAAGCACACAAATTGCAAACAGAGGCTGGGCTTTTTTGGGGGGAGTAATTGGAAGCTAATTTGGGACCCGCTCGCTCAGTGTTTTTAGGGTGACTGGGTGTACCCTGCGATGCTGCGCACGTGGGGACGGTACCTTGGGGATGAAGCTGATCTCCCAGCCGTCGAAGGGGAAGGAGAAGGGCTCCCACTGCACCTCCGCTGTCGTCTCTGTGATGGTCTTGAACTTCAGCCCCTGCGGCGTGGCGAGGTCTGGAAGGGAGCAGGGGGCGGTGAGCAGAGCGGGATGTGTGGGTGCTGCTGCCCACACCCGCCCCCCCCCCCCCCCCCCCCTGTGGCTATTTTGTTATCTGGGTGATGAAAATGGGGGACCTTTTGGTAGCTGTTAGCAGAGTCATTGCCCCTTTGTCCCCCCTTCCGGGCGGTTAGAGGGAGAGGAGGGAAATGCCTGGGCTGCCGGACACCACAGCATCCCTTTGCATCGCACCTAACTGCACCATGCAAACAGAGCGATGGGGTTGCAAAAGGGGTGTCTGGATAAATTATGTTTGCCCTCTGTATCTTTAGTTTCTGAGGATCCTCTTAGGAGGTTGCCATTACAGTTTGATACTCTTGTTTTACTCTGTGCATCGTGGTCCCGGTCTGGACTACTTATCTCCTGATGCAGAGCAGCATCCCCTCTTGTGCATCCCCACGTCATGGGGATTCGTCATGGGGAACTTATGCAAACTGGGGGGAGAACCTGTGACTTCTATGATATATCGCAATATTTTCTATGAGGAAAAAAGTGTAAGATATCTTGGGCTATATTCTGTGGGCTTCAATCAAACACTGAAAGTTTCTTTGATTTTCGGTCATTTGAGTTTTCATCCAGACTCTTTCTGCAGAGTGTGGACACATTTCCTCCATTCCTATATTCCCATAAAGATATAAATGGGGATAAAAATATCTCAATTTTTTTTTTTTTTTAAGCCTCAATTTTATGCTGCAAGAAGGATTTTGTGGGAAATATGAGCCAGCTTGAGCATCACCTCTGGTTATCCGGTTACCAAGCGACAAGTGCAATAGGATACTTACTGGTCATCACCTTGGAGGTAACAGGGATGCTCAAGACGTCGCTGATGACTGCGTAGACACTGATGTTGTATGCAACGCCCGGCTCGAGCTCTGTGATGGTGATGCTGCTCCAGTCCCCGGGCACCCGCTGCTGGAGCTGGGTGCCCCCTGGTCCCGCCGGCTGATACGAGACGACGTACTCTGTGGCCGCCCCGGGGCTGTCCCACGTCAGCTCGATGGAGCTGTCGCTGATTCCTGTCACTCGCAGGTTTTCGGGAGGAGCCACTGATGGGAAGGGCAGAGGTAAGGAGAGCGTCAGGGTGTGCGTGGCTTATCCTCCCACCCGGCCATGGGGAAGGGTGCATGGGTCTGCTGGTGGGACACGGGTATGGGCTTTGGCCTGGGGGTTACGTGTTATCTGTGGTTGTATTAAATGCTATAGCAAGGCAAAGGCTCGGGAGAACCTGACTGCAAGCTGCTGTGGCACCAAGGGTTTACCACCGATATTGGGACAAACCTTGCTGGCTTTTTGCTCGCCTCCCAAACTTTTGACTGCGGTGTCTCTGGGGACAGGGACAACAGGGAGGCAGTCAGACTGCGGAGCCTGAGCAGGTCCTATGTGACATGCTCTGCCAGTTATGGGTTTCTCCCAGGCTTCGTGGTGTTCCTACCGGGGCTCTGGGCATCTTGAAGCCCTTACCCATACATTAGGGTCTGTCTCTCCCCGTGCATGCCCCTCGCTACCTGCTGAGCAGTCCTGCCCTTCGTAGCCTTCCTCGCAGACGCAGAGACCATCCTGGCAGACCCCACGGCCACTGCAGGCATTGGGGCAGTGCAGCCACCTGCAGTCCTCCCCGGCGTAGCCCTCCTGGCAGATGCATGTACCGTTGACGCAGTGGCCCTTCCCCGAGCAGTCGTGGGGGCACCGCAGCTGGGAGCAATCCTCCCCGGCGAAACCCTCCTCGCAGACGCACTCGCCATCCACGAGAGACCATCCTGGCAGACCCCACGGCCACTGCAGGCATTGGGGCAGTGCAGCCACCTGCAGTCCTCCCCGGCGTAGCCCTCCTGGCAGATGCATGTACCGTTGACGCAGTGGCCCTTCCCCGAGCAGTCGTGGGGGCACCGCAGCTGGGAGCAATCCTCCCCGGCGAAACCCTCCTCGCAGACGCACTCGCCATCCACGCAGAGCCCACGGGAGCCGCAGCCGGCGGGGC